ATTAAATCCAGAGGCCTGAAAATCCACCCTGTCTTAGCATCAAGATAATAATGATCATCCTTGCATTTGATATAGTGCCTTATCACGTCTCAATCACAAATTATATTCACATACATACACAAGATATTCACGTATTCACGTCTCAAAGCGTTTCACGGAATATACTGTAAAGTGAATTGAGTGTATATTTCGTCGGCGAAACTCAGCAGCCAATTGCGCACAGCAAATTGTTTCTTTTTCTTTAAATTGGAGGAATTATTACACCCGGAAAAGTGATCCGCCAATCAGCTAACAACCAGATTCCTACTTACTGCTTGGTGAACAGAATTGTGTGGAGTAAGGAAACCTGCCCAACATTTCGCCCTGCCCAGGAATCAAAACCTGGTCCTCTTGCTTGTGAGGCGAGTTCTTTAACCACTGAACTATATACAATGGTCTTGAAATCTAAGATTGCGGAGACATTGTTCTTAAGATAAGATCCTGTGAATTTTTAGCTGCTGAAGTCCAGGCACAAACGAGATTTACACATTTGTATCAGTGCTGTTTCAAAGAGAACAGAGACGTCCCCTACTGGTCAAATGCAAGAACACGCAAGGATTTCCTTCAGGTTCAAGTTGAAAAGTTTTACATTGTGGCAAATACAGAAGTTCACAACAACAAAATTACATTTTAAAGCGCCTTTCACGTCGGGAGGACGTCCCAAGGATGGTGCATAATGTGGATGGTGAAGTGTCTGATACATGTGGGAAATCCATCACATTGCTTAAGAGTATCCAAACCAAGCTGAGATTTCCACACATCCCACCGACACATGGAGATCCCAGAGATAGATTGTTGGAATGGAATGTGCACTCTCTCCCTGGAGGGACACATCCTTATTATCTAATTCCAGAAAATATTAGGCGCAGGTTGGCAAGAGCCAAGACTTTGAGACCCCAGAGTGTACATTGGGGTAACTGCTGGAGTCTAACCAGCTAAATCTGCATAACTTGCCATTAATATTGCTTTCCGGCTGCTTGTCCAGCTAGGACCACCCTACTCGTGGGCTTTGGTTTAAAGAGTTAACAGGAGCTGAGTGGGATGATTTGAGACGTCTCAACAACGTGATAAGGCACTGTAACAAATGCAAGGATTATTATATTATTATTCCCTGCCCCCAGTGACTGTTCCCCAGGGGGCTGACAGGAAATCAAATTAAACGTTGCCAATGATTTTGTCACTTTTGGTCAGAGATCCTACAAGGATGGTGAAGGGACACGACACTGACATACACAGATACTGCATATCTGCAAATATAACAGTCCTTGCATTTGATATAGGGCCTTATCATGTCTCCTAGACGTCTCAAAGCGCTTCACAGAATATACTATAAAGTGAATTGACTGTGTATTTTGTGGGCAAAACTCGGCAGCCAATTGCGCACAGCCGTGTCCCACAAACAGTCGTGGATTGAAGTGACCAATTTATATTTTTATTTATTTGGACAAAATGAAGGAGCACATTGAGAAGCATGCTTTATTCAGAATGTAATCGGTGTTACGCTGGCTGTAGAGAGAGAATGGATTGTGCAGACAATGGGTGCAGGGAGTGGAAAACAATTTGATTCCCCAGGATTGACTTCTGCCTTTGAAGTGCAACGTAGGCAAAAAAGATAAATATGCTTCTTGTACAATTAGATTAACTCGCCTTCACCCATTTTATAAAAAACAAACTGTCAATCTTTAAGACGGATTGGTGAGATTCATGGGCTGTTTTGATACAGACCTCTCTGGCAGTGTGTTGCTGCTGCTAAAAGTAATCCCAATATTCCCCAGGAAAGCTGATAGTTCACAAGCATAAACAACATTTTTAACACAAATTTAAAATAGTTTGCAAAAAAAACAGAGGGGAGGTGAGAACTTTTTTCACCCAGAGAGTTGTTCAGATCTCCAATGCATTGCCTGCAAGGGCGGTGGAAGCCGATTTGATAACAACTTTTAAGAGAAAAGTAGATAATTATTTGGGGAGGACAAGTTTGCAGAGCTATGGGGAGAGAGCGGGGGAGTGGGATTAATTTGGAAGCTCTTTCAAGGAGCCAGCAGACACGATGGGCCAAACAGCCTCCTTCTGTGCTATAAAATTCTATGATTCTATGATATGCAACAAGCTGTGTACACCAAACCACCTCAGGCAGGGCAAGAATAGTTAAATGTAAATAACCCTCAAAGTGTCTGGATGTGGCAGCCTCGCTTTCCTCAACTTTCCGCAACTCGCTCAAAGGTTCCAGTTAATAATAACATCAGCTTCTCTCAATTCCCTACCTCCAGAGACAGCTGAAGCACCACACGTTTCAGCAGCTCAGCAACGACAACTTGCATTTATATAGCGACCTTCACGCGGGATGGCATCCCGGAGCGCTTCACAGTAGCGGTGTCTGACACCGAAGACAGGGGGAGAGGGAGGTGACTGTAAATACAATCAAAAGGAAGGTCTTTAAGCAGGATTTGATAATGGGGAGGGAGGGGGCAAGGCGAGGGATTGAGGGAGAGCGTTCCATAGTTTCAGCCATAGTGCCTGAAGGCACGACCACCGATGGTGGAGCGGAGGGCACAAGAGACAATAATAATAATAATAATCCTTGCATTTGATATAGCGCTTTTCACGTCAGGAGGACGTCCCAAAGCGCTTCACAGAACACACTGTAAAGTGAATTGACTGTATATTTGTGGGCGAACGCGGCAGCCAATTGCGCACAGCAATGTCCCACAAACAGTCGTAGATTGAAAATGACCAATTTATTATTGTTTTTGGTTTTGGAGGGATTATTATTAGGCGTGTGGAGTATGGAAACTTGCCCAAGGTTTCGCCCTCTGCCTGGAATTGAACTCAGGTCTCTCGCTTGCAAAGCGAGTGCTGTACCCACTGAGCTACAGGACAAACAGGAGGCCGGAGCCAGCCGACTGGAGGCAAAGGGTGATGGAGTGGAGAGTAAGCAGGTTGGAGAGATAGGGAGGTGTGAGGGCATGAAGTGATTTGAAAACGAGTGAGAGGATCTTGAAGCCGATCCGTTCAATGATTGGGAGCCAGTGCAGCCTGGCAAGGACTGTGTGATGGGGTGAATCAGTCTCATACTTAGATGTGAATGTGAATCCTTTCTCCCCTACCCCCCCCATCTAATGGCTGGCTCAAAGTGTGGTCCAGAAAGCCAAATAGCCAATGCAGGATGGCTTTGGACCTAACCACTGTGACCGAGTTGGGCCAGGGGGTGGGCTCACAACCATAGCTAGTGTCAGACGGGCCTCAAGTATATCCATCAATGAAGTTATCTCAATGATAACATCACATCACAATTTTCACTCCCATCATATCTCTGCTTACTCTTCAACATTCCAAATATTCATTCAGCTATTTTTTTCCAGGAGTCAAACAACACAGTTGATTAAAATTATGAAAGATTTGATAAGGTTTGTTTGTGAATCCGAACCAAAGGGAGCATAAATATAAGGAAAACGCATCAACATATTTAAGAGGAAACTTGATGCCTACACGAGGAGAAAGGGAATAGAGGAATATAGGAGAGGGGTATTGGAGGGCTGGAAGTTTATGTGGAGAATAAACACCAGCACAGACTAGTTGGACCAAATATCCTGTTTCCATGCTGTAATCGTTATGTAACACAGATTGGATCTTCGTACCTATTTATTTCTCGATGAAGCATTAACAATGAACCTCTGCTGCTCTCACAGTGAATGCCCAATAGGCATGTTACTTCAACAATACAAATGTATTTTAAAGTAAAACAGACGGGTAGAAACAGATGGTTATCATCAATTTCATTGTACATTTAATAGACCTGCAATTTCACCCAACCTTAACCAGTTTTCAGTGAAAGCAAGGATGTCGACTTTTTCGTCAACAATCAGTTTGTGGACAGAGAATCGATTGCAAAACCCTCGTTCTCACCTTCAAGGCCCTCCACAGTCTTGCTCCACCTAACACTCCGACCTCCCAACCACATATTAGCCTGTCCGCTCCCTCTGCTCGGCGGACACCGACCTGCTCCAGGTCCCCTACAGTTCCCGCCCCACCGTTGGCGTCGGGCATTCAGCATCTCCGCTCCACAGTCTGGAACTCTATCCCACAATCACTCTACCTCACCCCCTCTCTTGCCTCCTTCAAGTCCTGTATAACTAAAGACCTTCCTTGTTGACGTACCTTCAGCTACCCTTCCTCGGTCCAAAAATCCCTGACTGCCCACTGCCCAGGGATGTCTTTCTAATGTGAAGGGGGTTATACAAGTGTAATTTATTGTTGTTGTAAAAACATTTTGTCTCAACATTTAAGGTGACAACCTGGAACAGATCATGAAAAGTGAATTGAGCAACAAGGCAACAGACAAAACAAGAGAACACATTGGAGTAGATACCTTACCCTGATATACCCCATGGCTCAACTATAGCTGCTCAACTATGATAGACATGTTCACTGATGGAACTATTTCAGCTCACAAAAAATAGCAGAAACCCGAATACTCCAGCATCTCAACTTGAAAGACTGCTAAGCAAAGGTTACTCAGTTACCATTCAGATATTGAGTTTCAAAAGGCTCTTGGAACAGCGAAATTGCAACGTAAACAGTGTCTCGGACCAGTAAAAGGATCTTAGGGATGTAAAGTGCATCTCGTATGTATACAAAATCATGAGAAATCAGTTCTTGCCCAATTTGACGGCAGTGTACTCTGGCAATGAAGGGATTGATTACAGGCATGACAACACGATTGTGTATAGATTCAGAGCAGACTTCTCAAAGGCCTATGTGACATACATGATATTCCCAGGGCCTGACATGCCAAAAGCCCCATTTATGCATTCAGCCTGCATTTTGTGTTGTCTCAGCTGTGTCAAACACTTTAAGATGTCCTCCTGACATAAAAGGCGCTATGTAAATGTAAATGGTATTGTATCAGCTTTCCTCTTCAAGCACTTTTTCAATCCCACTGATAGTAGTTTGGCTTTCCATACCTTCAATAGCTCTTTGGGGAAATCTTTCCCTTCGTTCAAGCCATCTAAATTAGTAATGAAATCTTGGCAAGACATCTTCTTTCCAATATTCTGAAAAGCAAAGAAAAAAAAGAATTGCAATGAAAAGCATCCCTTGCGCTGAAGAGACAGACCACAGACGTGACAACAGGACACTTAACCATAGATTACAAATAACATTAAAAATAGGACGACTATATAGAAACTGCAGCACTCCCTAAAATAGGCCTCAAGAGAAAAACAATATGGGGATTTCAGTCATGGTTAGCACCAAGTACCTTACACAGTGATTATACCATCAATAAAATCACCTGCTGTAAATGTTACTACAGCGGGTTGATTTATATCAAGCCTATTTGACATTTCCATCACCTTCTCTAACAGGGACTTCACTGGGACAATTCTCTTGCCAATAAATTTACTGACCACTGTTGTGGGAGCTGAAAACAAGAATATACAGCGAGTTTAAGCTCGGAAATCTATGAATTTATCGACCAACAGCGAATGCCTCCTCTCTCCCACCCAGTGCAACAAATTAATCAGCGGGCAACTATGTGTAACATAGGTTAATCGATGGCAACTCGAGCTGGCCTCTCTATCCATGCTTAAACAAGGATTTCTGTTAAGTATAATAATAATAATCTGTGCACTTGATATAGTGCCTTATCATGTCTTCTGAGACGTCTCAAGGCGCTTCACAGAATATACTGTGAAGCGAATTGACTGTGTATTTTGTGGGAGAAACGGCAAATTTGTGACTGTTTGTGGGACACTGCTGTGCACAATTGGCTGCCACGTTTCGCCCACAAAATACAGTCAATTCACTTCACAGTATATTCTGTGAAGCGCTTTGAGACGTCTTGAAGATGTGATAAGGCACTATATTGAATGCAAGGATTATTATTATTATCATCCACAATTTGGCAAATTCAGGGCGTTTTGGAGCATCCACAATTTGGCAAATTAACTGGTATTAACAGGTAATAATAATAATAATAATAATCCTTGCATTTGATATAGCGCTTTTCACGTCGGGAGGACGTCCCAAAGCGCTTCACAGAACACACTGTAAAGTGAATTGACTGTATATTTGTGGGCGAACGCGGCAGCCAATTGCGCACAGCAATGTCCCACAAACAGTCGTAGATTGAAAATGACCAATTTATTATTTTTTTTTTTTGGAGGAATTATTATTAGGCTCTGTGTGGAGTAAGGAAACTTGCCCAAGGTTTCGCCCTCTGCCTGGAATTGAACTCAGGTCTCTCGCTTGCAAAGCGAGTGCTCTAACCACTGAGCTACAGGACTCCACTAATGAATGTTTAGTGTAAGCGAGCAAGATTTGCTGTACCCCAAAGTGAGCTGTCAAACCACAAGTCTCAGCTTTCATTTGAACAAAAACAAAAGGTGCAATTGGTGTACTAACAGCCCAGCTGCCATGCAAGTGGGAAGCTGCGGACAGGGATGGAACTTCAAGCGCTGTGCTTGATTTCTCCTAAAGTACAGAGACTGATTCATTAACTACAGTAACTCTGCATTGGGCTGTTTCTCTAGAAAAATGAGGCATGAATTTCTGGATGTGCTTTGATGATTGCCATGGGAACATTGGCAAAAAAAGGAATCTCCATGTAAAAAANTAACATGAATGTTTAAACAGGGTGTGGATGGATTTTACTGGAGTATAATATTTAACTCAATTTTTTTTAAAACTAGCAGCATGGGGGAAAGTGAGGCAGGATCTAACAACAGAAAATGATGCTATAAATCTCCTGAAGCAGTTTGTTACATAGTATTAATGGGGGCAGGTTAGAGAAATTCTACCCACTCTACATTTACCCTATTTTCGTGGCATTTTGGAGCATCCTCAGTTTGGCAAATTGTTGAATTCTGTCTTAACTTTGAAGATCGATACATTGTGATTCTGAGAATTTACAGGAAACGGACTTCAATATTGAAATACCATTTAAGAATTTGCCAAATTAAGGATAACAACAACAGCTTGCACCTTGCACCCTTCATGCAAAGTAGCATCTAGGACCACTTAAAGCACTTGTATGCTCTCAAATGCCAAAAAAGGAGGGTAAATCTAGACTGTGGTGAAATCCCCCTCATCCCCCATCCATCCAGTGTCCCACAGACAAGAGGCCTGGCTGATATATGGTTTAGGATCAGGTGGCTCTATCTGCAATGTTTATGGGTCACTTCACCTCAGTGATATTGCATATAAGACCAAAGTCAAGAAGAAGTTGCCTTTTTTAATGTAAAGGCTATGATGGTGTAGCATGGATTGCACTGCTATCTGCCTCTGATTTCCCCCACCTGAGCTCTTTATAGTGTCAGGTTAAACCTAGCAAAAGACTCCCTGAAGGTCTCTTTGAGAATCATAAGACATTCCTTCACACTATGCAGCAGTCCATGTCCCATTTGTTCCCACTGTCCAGCAATCCATGTCCTACCACTCGGAGTTCTATGGATTTCATGTCCCATTTCCTGTGGCTCCGGCCTCCTGTTTGTCCCTCGTGACCTCCGCTCCACCATCGGTGGCTGTGCTTTAAGTCACTATGCCCCAAAGCCCTGGAACTCTCTCCCTTAATCCCTCCGCCTTGCCCCCTCCCTCCCCACTTTCAAATCCCGCCTAACGACCTTCCTTTTTGATCGTGCTTACGTTCACCTCTCCCCTCCCTCTCCCCCGGCTCGGGGTCAGACTCCACCACTGTCAAGCGCTCCAGGACGCTACCTCGCATGAAGGACGCTATATAAATTCGTTGTTGTTTTTGTTGTGGAGCCATTATCATAAACCTCCATGGTTAGATCACCAGTCTTGGTGGTTTGGACTTGGTGGCTAATGACAACTTTTCACCAAAGCGGCAGTGAAACAAAAGTGTTATGACATTTCCAATGTTAATGCACCGGAGGAAGGCAGGGGTTAGTCAGGGTTAATGGGAACACAGAAAAGAAGTGATTGAAGCAAAACTTACTGCCTAGCAGGCCAACCAAGCAAGCAAACAAGCAGAAGGTCCAGGGAGAGGGAGATGACGATGGAGAGGAAACAGGTATAAAATTCCATTAGTACTTCATGCAGTGACTTTGTTCCTTCAACAGGCATGCAGCAATCTACTTTAACAACCCATGCATTGAGGTCAAACACAGAGCCAAATCCTAAAGTATTATACACACTTGAGTCACTATGAAAACCTCATCTGCCCGAAAGCAGAACGAGATTTTTAATAGCCATTGTTAAAATATATTTATATATCCACCAGAAGTTGCCTTCACTCAGTTCTGAGGCAAGAAATAGCAACGGCTGAGGAAATGCTGCTCATGTGTGTAACAAAACTTAGCAAAACAGTCTTCAACACTGAGTGCAAATCATTTCTGCACAAAGGACTGCACTGAGGTCAGAGCAGTCACGAAGCTTCTCTGCTAGATTAGTGCAATTGTTTACCGCCACCACTGCTGGGATCGTTCTTATTAAGAGCAGAGAAGGTTAAGAGGAGATTTAATCGAGGTGTTCAAAATTATGAGAGGTTTTGATAGAGTAGATAGAAACTGTTTCCACTAGCAGGTGGGTCAATAACCAGGGCATATAGATTTAAGAAAATCAGAGAATTTTTTTTTACACACAGAGAATTGTTACGTTCTGGAATGCATTGCATAAAAAGGTGGTGGAAACAGATTCAATAGCAACTTTCAAAAGGGATTGGAGAGGTAATTGAAAAGGAAAAATTAGCAGGGGTATGGGGAAAGAACGGGGGAGTGGGACTGATTGGGTAGCTCTTCTAAAGAGTCAGCACAGGCACGATGGGCCGAATGGCCTCCTTCCGTGCTATAATATTCTATGATTTCATCTCAACTTGCAGACACGGAGACATTACAGGGAATGGGTTAGTCTCACAAAGGCCATGCTCTTTGAGCAGAATGACAGATGCCTTTTGCACTAAATGTACATGCAATACAGATGGAGTCATACTGGACCTGGGGGAAGGTCTGTGGGAAAGCACCAAACTGAGCAGCAGCTACAAAGAAATACAGACTTGCTATATGGACTTCATATAAACACCACGCACCAACTTAGAAACTGGAGAGTGATACACTGTTGGTGGCTCTGCTTTCAGCCTTGTCAGGAAATAATCAAATGGAAAAGCTCTATGGTTTGTGGTACGCATCTCTTTGGTGCTGAGGGAACCCAATGGCGATACACAGCTGACAGCTTCCCAACTATACCTGCAGGGAATCGCTGTGCATTTCTGTTCAGTTATTGTGCTGCTGGGGCTTTGAGAGGTAACATCAATCCACAATTGTTTGTGGGACACTGCTGTACACAGTTGGCTGCCGCGCTTCGCCCACAAAATACAGTCACTCCACTTTACAGTATGTTCCGTGAAGCGCTTTGAGACGTCTCAAAGACATGAAAAGGCATCATATCAAATGCAAAAATTATTATTGTTATTATAAGCTGCTGCTTTCCTCAAACAAAACCGCAGCTCGGTGGAGCCTGCTGTGTGAGGAAAGATATTGGTTCTCTCCTGGACATCTGGAAGGAATCCTGGTTGGAGTGGAGTCAGTGATGCGTGGGGGTGGGGGAAGAAAGACTATTTATAATTGAAACTGCCTGCCAGGGGGAGGAGAAAAAGGAAGAGGGGCAAAGCAAGTCAATCTCTTCCACCCCGCACATCCCAGCAGAGGACCTGTCACTTTCCTTGCCCTCTCCTTCAGGCAATGCAGGTAAACTAATAATAATAATAATCCTTGCATTTGATATAGCACCTTAACACGCCTTCGAGACGTCTCAAAATGCTTCACACAATATACTGTGATATGAATTGACTGTGTATTTTGTGGATGAAACGCGGCAGCCAATTGCTCACAGCAGTGTCCTACAGACAGTCGTGGATTGAATGACCAAATTATTATTATTATTTTTGTTTTGAAGGGATTATTACCCCCAGAAAGGCGATCCGCCAATCAACTAACAAACAGGTTCCTACTTGCTACTAGGTAAACAGAGGCGTGTGGAGTAAGGAAACTTGCCCAATGTTTCGCCCTGCCTGGAAATCAAACCCAGGTCTCTCGCTTGCCAGGCAGTGCTCTAACCACTAAGCTACAGGACTCCAAACTAAGCCAGTGATCAGTAGAAAACTTCCACATTTCACAGGTATCAAGGCTGAAAAAAAACATTTTTTGTTGAAAACAAAACACACACAAAAACATATCCAAATCAGTCACATAAAACAAATAAAGTAGGGCAAAAGGTTCCCCAAAATACAATGTAGTCGATGCCTCATGCACTCCATACTGAGAGTGGCAATACAGTGTGCCACCTGCAGGCAAAGCAGCTCAACTGCGCATCACTTTTGTCTTCGCTCATTTATTCCCTAATTTAGACAAAACAAACTTTATTTGAAGAGCTAGAGTTTAATGAGGAGCAGGTATAACTTGCCCCATTTGGCCGCAGCCAAACCCTTCAATTAGATTTGATGTGATACGATCGAGAGCAAAATAACATGGACATGCAGTGTTAAAAAACATCCTTGCATTTGCTGTGTTAATTGTGAAAAGGTTTCCTTTCAAATGGGGTATGCACACATATGCGCGGACACACTTTGCGCTAAGAATCAAAGTATGTTTTAACAGAAGTTTAACAGAAGTTGTGTTTTTATGCCCACGACCTAGATTAACATTTAAAAAGAATAATAAAAATAATAATCCTTGCATTTGATATAATGCCTTTCACATAAGGAAGACTCGCTCCACAGGATTGAATGCAAACTATTTATAGTTAAATGCTGTAACCAATTTACACACAACAATGTCTCACAGATAGTCATAAAAAGGAATAATACATTTTATCAGGGTGGATTGTTGGCCAAGAAACTGGGAGAAATTCCCTTCTCGTTTTGAATAGTGTCATGGGATCTTTAACATCCATATGAACAGAGAGACAGGACCTCAGTTTAACATCTCAACTGAAGAATGTCACCTCTGATAAGTGCCTATCCCCAGCAATTAACCCATAGGCAGTGCATTCAACAAAGAACCTACAGAGGTTATTTTGCTGAGTGAATTCCATGGCAAAAGAACCTATAAGAGTTATTTGGGGCATTAAGCCTTGTAATACTAATCCTTTTGGTACATTTTGCCAAGTTAGTCCTTGCATGCTTATAAATAAGTCTAATGCAATTTTAGGAGTAGAATTTAATGTTGCACATTGAATCTCATGGTATTTAGAAATTAAAACTTTGTACCTGTTTTTATTTATAGGTCAACAGGAACTAATTAGTTAAACCTGTGAAATAGGAAATAACACTCTGTATCAGCCTGGCCTCTCGGGAGTCTCTTCGGCAGCATTTGCAAAACATGCACAAAGGCGATCACAGATGCAAATCTAGCAGTAAGTAGGAACCCGGTTGTCAGTCCATTGGTGCATCGCTTTTCTGGGGATAATAATCCCTTAATAATAATAATTTTGTCAATCAATCCACGACTGTCTGTGGGACACTGCTGTATGTGTTTCACCCACAAAATACAATAAATTCACTTTACAGTATATTCTGTGAAGCGCTTTGAGACGTCTCAAAGACATGATAAGGCGCCATATCAAATGCAAGGATTATTATTATCATTCCCTCTCTGCACATAGTTTGCACAGTTTGCAAATTAGACTCCCTCCACTGTTTACAATGAGAGCTTGGGAACATTGAGAGGCTAAACGTGAATACAGGCTGCTCTGACCTGAGGAACAGAAACAGTAGATCGTTAATAATTCTAATGAAAAGAAGAGGAATGATGGAATTGAAAGAATGCCATTTCCATTACAGCTTTTTTTTGCTGTAAGAACTCAGGGCTGGCTAAACGGAATGACTCCCAGGCCTCAGAACTCCATCTGCTAGATGATTATTATTATTATAATAATCCTTGCATTTGATATAGCGTCTTATCACGTTGTTGAAATGTCTCAAACTGCTTCACAGAATATCCTGTAAAGTGAATTGACTATTTAATTAATTATCTCTGAAAAACCACCCGGCTAGCAGTGGGCAGGTCTGAAAACCATACCAAGATGTGGAGTAAGGGTCATCTTCAGCACAGATTGTTACTGGGTCAGTCAACTTAGGAGGGGTGGAGATGTAGGAAGAGAAGATTATGAGAGACACTTTATAATCAAGATGAGTGATGCAAATTACAAGCCCATTAAAAAGTTATGGATCTGCATCACTCAGAGTTACATATATCAACATCAAAAGACTCTTTAGATCTGCAACCTGCCAGGATCTGACACATATGATTGTAGCAATGCACACAAATAGTACATCAAAATAAAATGGACACACAAGACACTAAAAATCCAGACTAGCAAACAGGAATTATTGCCTTAGTCGAATTGTAAGATTCTCAAAGACAGCAAATCCCAAGGGGGCAAAGTCCAAAATAAGATTGGATTAATGAGTAAAATTTTGGCTGTAGGGAACATGGCAACTGTCCATGGAACCTGCTTCAACATTTTCTTAGATCATGGCTGATATGCAACTTAATACCCTTGGCTTCTCACCGTATCCCTTGATCCTACGTCCTATCAAACATCCTTGATCGTATTAGTCAATACCATAAATCGGGCTTACGATTCTCCTTTTTCCAGATCACTATATCATTACTAGACTCTCTTGATTCAATCAACAAAGCTCTTGGAAAGGCTCAGACATATTTTTTCTCTTCGGTACTTACATGGCCATGAAGGTCTGTGTTCAACAACATTAGTGCACAAGTGAGGCAATGGATCCCATCTGTAAGAGGAAGAACAGTTATTTCTTCACAAAGAGTCACCTTTAACACCAGCCATATTCAACAGTCACCGGGGGAGTTCCTCGGCGCAGTTTGCAGTTACCAAGTGCCACTGAACATCTAGTTGCAGTCCAGTTATTGCAGCACTCACAAACAACAACAACAACTTATATTTGTGTGGGGCCCTTCACCTAGGATAACACAGTACAGGCCGATCAAGAGAGGAGCGGGAGGTGACTGGAACCGCAGTCAAGCTGGTAGGTTTTTAGAAAGATGGGAACAGGATTTTAGAAAGATGGGAACTGAGGGATGGAAGGAGGGAGTTTCAAAGGTCGGGGCAAAATAACAACAACAATAATAGTCCTTGCATTTGATGTAGCGCCTTATCACATCTTCGAGACGTCTCAAAACACGTCACAAAATATACTGTAAGGTGAATTGACTGTATATTTTGTGGGCGAAACACGGCAGCCAATTGTGCACAGCAGTGTCCCACAAACAGTCGTGGATTGAGTGACCAAATTATTACTTATTATTTTTTCAAGGGATTATTACCCTTATATGTGAAGACTCAGCCACCAATGGTGGGGCAGGGTAGCACAGAAAGCCAAGCAGAGGGGGTGAGCAGAGTAGCCGGGTAGGCGAAGATCAGAGAGATAAAGAGTTGCTGGAGCAAAGGGATTTGTGAGTAGGGTTGACCTTGAAATCGATCCAGGGACAGTGGAGATCTGAAATGAGCTCATAGTTCCCATTTAAGTGTCAGATGTTAAACCAGGAAATGTATTAACTTTTGTGCTTGCACTGTAGTTTCACAACAATAAAGGGATTATGAAGGAATGTTGGCAGGGGTGATTGGAATGAGATATTGCGCTTTGCAGATTGGATGGTTTTCATTAATAATAATCCTTGCATTTGATATAGCACCTTATGTCTTTGAGATGACTCAAAGCGCTTCACAGAATATACTGTAAAATGAATTAATTGACTGCATATTTGTGAGCGAAATCCAGCAGCCAATTGCGCACAGCAGCGTCCCACAAACAGCTGTAGATTGAAGGGACCAATTTATTATTATTTTTTTGAAGGAAAGGTGATCTGTCAATCGACTAGCAACCGGATTCCTATTTACTGCTAGGTAAACAGAAGCTTGTAGAGTAAAGAATCTTGCCTAACATTTCGCCCTACCGGGAATCGAACCCAGGTCTCACTTGCGAAGCGAGTGCACTGACCACTGAGCTATAAGACTCCATAACGAACAGCAGGCAGGTGGGGCAGAAGTCTGACATCAGTGTCAAACAAGGAAAGGGCAAGTACCAGTTCAATTTATCATCAACCCCTCCCCTCCCCCGAGCTACACTTTCACAAGTGTTATCGTATACAGTCAGGGAAGGGAAAATAAAAAGAGAGCCCACTACTGGAGGAGAGGCTCTACTGGAGGAGAGGTTTTCAGCCTTTGGGCTCCATTCCAGTCTGTTCTGCCTTCCATACTTTTTAAATAACAATATTTTCCCACCCTCAGCAGCACAGCAGATTCCAAGAATCACAAGATCATGGTTGATCTGGATGAAGAAGGTTGTTTGATCCATCTGATCTCATCCCTCCAGAACACCAGTCCCTGTACCAATCTGCTTTTTAAATGAGTCGCGTTCCTCTGAGTAAAGAAACATTTCCTGGTATCTGTCCTGAAATTGCCCTTTATAACTCTAAACCTGTGTCTTCTTGTTCTACTGTCATGATACATCCTAACATATTGATCTAGGTTTACCTTTTCAATATCATTTAAAATATTATACACCTTTATGAGGTTCCCTCTAAGTTGTCTACTCTCAAGGCTAAAGAGCCCTAACTTGTCTTGTCATTACTCATAGCTCATTCCTCTAACACTGGGGATAATTCTTGTTGCTCTTCTCTGCACTGCCTTCAGTGTGGACAGCCTCTTATATGGAGATGACCAGAACTGTTTGAGGTATTTAAGGTGCAGTCTGACAAGGGCTCTGTACAGCCAGATGTCTGGGGATCTAAACAACTGATTTAGCAATGTAGCCCAGCATCGTGTTTGTCTTGTTTATTGCTACCTCATGAGTGAGCAACAAGTCAACTAACACCTCTCGATGTGGAGTCCTGAGTTCAGTGATTAGAGCACTCGCCTCGCAAGCAGGCAAGTTTCCTTACTCCAAATGCCTCTGTTTACCTAGCAGTAAGTAGAAGCCGGTTGTGAGTCGATTGGCGGATTGCTTTTATAGTGGTAATAATCCTTTCAAAATAAAATAATAATAAATTGGTCACTTCAATCCACGACTGTTTGTGGGGTACGACTGTGCGCAATTGGCTGCCGTATTTCACCCACAAAAATATACAGTCAATTCACTTTACAGCATATTCTGTGATGTGAAGTGCTTTGCGATGTCTTTAAGACGTGATAGGTGCTGTATCAAATGCAAGGATTATAATTATTATATCTCTTTCAGCTTCCCTCTGGCAAATTCAATCCCATCCATGGATTACTTGTGATTCCTATTCTCGGACCTTATATGTAGTACCCTTGCTTTTATCTTATATGTAGTACCCTTAATTTGCCAGCTATCAGACCATGTGCAAACCCAATCAAACGACTGTATCTGCTGATTCCACAGCTGGTGTTCCAACCTTTTATCAGCTGTAAATGTAACTATCTTACACCTGGTCTGCAAATCCGTCTTATTAAAATACGTGAGGAACAAGAGGGGTCCCAGTGGAGACCCCCTTAGTATCTCTCCCCATTTTCACCTAAGTCTACTAACAAAGATCCTTTGCTTCTTTCCCTTGAGCCGATTCTGAATCCACATCAATGATCCCCAGTGACTACAGTTTGTGGAGGAGAATTGATGAAGTAATTTGACAAATGATTTTTGGAAGTCCAGATACGCTACATCATATGACTTCCCACAGTCAATTTGGGCTGTCACCTCCTCAGAAAAGTCAATCAGGCAATTACGTTGGTCAGGCAAGACCTACCCTTTCTGAACCAACCCATGTTGGCTGTCAATTATTAGGTTATTTTTACACAGATAAATATCTTCCACTTGGTTTCTGATGATCGACTCCAATAATGCATTCAGAAAAACATTAACCATTACTTCCTTTCATTTAACAAAGGGAGGTGTGTGTGTGTTTGTGGCTGTGTGTGGTGGAGAGGAGGAAGGGGTGCGGCATTAACCCTAAGAATGTCAATGTCGTATTTACAGATTAGGTGTTGAATCCTGTGCAACACTTTGAGACGCCCTCTTGGTGTGAAAGGCTCTATATCAGGTGCAAGGATTATTAAAATCATTATAATATTTAAGTTTAAAGCACAGACAAGCCTGCTGGTGTGCAGTCCTACCTTGAGAAGGAATCATGCCCTGGTTACACTGATAGTATCTGTTGGAGAAGTGGATTAAAACCCGTTCTCGCTCCTGAGTCTCTCCCATTAGTGCAAATGCTTTCAGGAAATTTCTGCAACACAATAAAAGCTATGAACAGAACTGAAGTTACAGCCTCTATCAAGATAGCGTGCTATACGACGATGCCACAGTAGAGATATCTTACAGGGCAAGATGTTAACATGAAGCCCCAATCAACATTTTCAAATTAAACCCATTTCCCACAAAAACAGCATACATTTCAAATGAGCCTGTTCAGGTGAATGTTATGACACTATTCAAATATGAGGAGGGAGTTCTTTCCAGTGTCTTGGCCAACAATTCTCCACATTAATAGATAAACAAAAGGCAAAGTAATAGGTTTGTTCATTAATAAATTATTCATCTGATTGGCTACTTGTGGGAACTTGCTTGGCCCAAATGTTTGGATCAAAAACAATCACTTTGCAGTAACTACAAAAAACAATTTGCATTTATATAGCGCCATAGAAAAACTACACATAGAAAAACATCTTGCAATGGTTAGATCAGTAAAGGAAAATGGAGAGGAAGAGGTGATCATCAGCGTGGTTGAGGTTTGAACTGGGACTTAAGGACAGAGAGAGAAGCAGGGGCATACTGTGGAGTCCAATAGTGTTGTGGTTAGATCACTTGACTTGCAAGCGAGAAGACCTGGGTTCAATTCCCAGGGGGCGCAAAACCTTAGGCCAGTTTCCTTATTTCACACGCCTGTTTACCTGGCAGTAATTAGTTCGATCAGCGGGTCATTTCTGGGGGTAATAATCCCTCCCAAAAAAATGCTGTTGCTCAAACCGCAATTGTTTGTGGGACACTGCTGTGCACAATTGGCTGCCGAGTTTTACCCACAAAAAATACAGTCAATCCACTTTACTGTACACTCTGTGAAGTGCTTTGAGATGTCTCAATGGTGTGATGAGGTACCATATCAAAAACAAGGATTATTATTGTTATTATAGTATTATAAATTACCTACACTTAAACCACAGGGTTTAAGACATTCAGACTGGTAGTGGCAGCTATGTTTTTCTTCACCTCCACACTTAAAGATCCAGGCATAAGTTGAAATGCACAGACAATACTTTTCCCCTCATTCAATTCCATCAAAAAAAACAAATTAGTTGTTAGATGTAGATTAAGTGCCGTGTTTGCATACACAAGTCTCAATACTTCAAAGCAACTCATTGGTCAATGCTTTGTGATAATAAGGCTCTTTCTTCCTAAATATCTTTGTATCTATAGCTTTGTCTGTCGAGCTGTCTCAAACACTTGACAATCAATCCAATTAGACACCACAAAAAGCTTCAGATTAAACAGCGTGTCAATGAAATAAAACAACAAAGGCTGGTGTTATATTGGCATTCTGTCAGAAATAGTCAGTGACATGTCTATTAAACATTACATCACACTACTGAGTCTGCAACCAATTATTCCTCCACTCTGCTACCTGAAACTGGAATTACTAACCACAGAATTCTGCTTCCACTAAGTGATCACTTTTTGGGGGGGTGGGGGAAACAACAAGAAGTTCATTAAATAATAATAATAATTCTTGCATTTGATATAGTGCCTTATCACATCTTTGAGACGTCTCAAAGCTCTTCACAGAATATACAGTTAAGTGAATTGACTGTATATTTTGTGGGCACAACGCTGCAGCCAATTGTACACAGCACAAACATTCGTGGTTTGAGTGACCAAATTTTATTTTTTTTAGATATCAAACTTATTATAGATGTGCTTCATGCTGTTACTTGGGGTGCATGTCAAATGCCCAGGGAAAAACAGACCATACCATAGCAGCAGGCTAAGTAATATCAGTCTCACAGGTGTCTGAACAGAGAGGTGCTTCCACAGCAACAGCAAGTGAGAGACAGAGAGAGAGAGATGCTCAGACATAAGCACAGTCAATAAAGCAAGTCTAGTCCTTTTTGATAATGCCTGTTCAGAAATCTCCCTTCTCCAGGCCCCAGCCCCCATGTGCAGTGGAGCAGGGTTTAATCATCCCACCTGCCATTCCTGCCCCCAAATTATCAGTTATCTTGCAATCTCGCAGGAAAACGCCCGTTCTTTTAAAATGCATTCAGCATTATCAAGCAAGATAATAATGAGTGAGTGTCACCAGGGTGAGAAGGATCAAATGCGAAACGAGAAGGTATATACACTTACCTAAGGGACTGGTCCAAGGTCATTCCTGTGAAGTCAAAGTATCTGAGGTATTCTTCAGCCACCAGCCTGCTGAATTCATTACTGTGGGAGAAAGCAGACACCATCATACGTGGGGGAAAAAACACCTGAGCTGCCATTATTGACTGCACAGATAAGTACTGTAATCTGTTCTCAATCAACAACAACAAAATGCATTCATAAGAGAAGGTTACGGGGAGATTGAGAAGTTTAAGGGGAGATTTAATAGAAGTGTTCAAAATTACAAGGGATTTTGATAGAGTAGATAGGGAGACACTGTTTCCACTGGTGGGTGGGTCAGTAACCTTGATTTAAGATAATTGGCAAAAGAACTAGAGGGGAGATGAAGAGACTTTTTTTTATATATATTAAACAGAGTTGTTATGGTTTGGAATGCACTGCCAGAAAGGGTGGGGAAATAGATTCAATAACAACTTTCAAAAGGGGATTACATAGGTACTTGAAAAGGAAACATTTGTAGGGGTATGAGGAAAGAGCGGAGGAAGTGGGACTGATTGGGTGGCTCTTCCAAAGAGCCAGACATGATGGACCGAATGGCCTCCTCCTGTGCCGTAATATTCTATGATTTTATATACCGCCCTCACATCCGAAAGTACTGGACAGTCGAGAGTAAGTATCCGAGCTGGGGTTTGGATTCGGGATGCCTGGGGAAGCTGACCAAAGACACAATCTTCCATTGCTGTTACTCTGACATTTACTGAAGAGGATAATAAGCTTTTACAAAATAGGCTGCAGCTGATCAAAAGGTCCGCAGCCTGCATCCTCTCTCCAGGCTCCACTGGCTCCCAGCAGATGGGATCAAGATCCTCAGGGACCAATAAATCCCTTCATGCCCTATCACCTCTTCATCGTACTCTTGTCCCACTCCTCTGTCAGAAGCTCTGCATGCTTAACTCCCACCCCAGCAATGTAAAACACTCAGAAGACATTACCCAAGTGAAGGGTGCTATATAAATGAAAGTTGTTATTGCAGTCTTATATAGCAACAATCTGTAAGATAATAAACCAAACAGCCCAGACATTGACCGTGACCCTACATTTAACATCCACGCTACAAAGCTTTTGATCACATCAGTGATGCTTTATGTCAAAGTTACTATGTCAAGCCTCCTGCTACCCAATAACCGGTTAGGTTTCTCTTTTAAAAAATGAATTGAAATCATAAATAGAATTAAAAATAAATCACAAAGACAGCAACTTTCATTCCCCTTCCTACGAGAATGTACGCCTGGTTTCAATTAGAAGGATTTTCAAGGCTGCAGAGACACAAACAGTGTTTAATAAAAATACAAATATTGGCTCTGGGTCTGTGAAATGCCCTTTGCAGTTTTAGCTGCAATGAATGAAGGATGATTTACAAATGCCAGCGACATAACTCCACAGTGCTTCAAAGAGCAGGAAAGAGTACAAGTTCAGGAGTGTGGAAGGCTAGAGAGGAATTATGCTGGTCTTTCTCATGAAAGGAAAGTTCATCTAAGGAAAGATTTGGAGAATTTGCCTCTAGCAAGGGATAGAGTGAGCATTGCAGCGGATCACAAGGCTTGGTGCAGAAGTGAAAATGGCTCATGGGGTCAGGACCAATTGAGCTAAGCTCCCAAAATTGTATTCAGAACTCCTCTGTACAGAGCTGCCTTTGTACAACGTGAATGCCCCCGTTTCAGGCTCTTTAGCTGAAACATTTAACAGAACATAGGAACAATAATAACAAAATTACATTTGTAAAGCGCCTTTCGTGTCGGGAGGACATCCCAAGGCGCTGAATACTCAGGGATCAGGACCCGAGCATGGCGGAGCAAGATTGGGAAGAGGGAGGACAGAGGAGTAGGAGGACGGCTGAAGGCACGGTCAAAGAGGGTCTTGAGATGTGCCTTGAAAGAGGCAAGAGAGGGAGCAAGGCGAAGGGATGGAGTTCCAAACGGTGGGGTCAGAAAGGGTGAAAGCCCGCCACCGATGGTGGGGCAGTGGGGAGGGAGACATGGAGCAGGCTGAAGCCTGCTGAATGGAGGGAGTGGACATAACTCTTTGATCTGGACGTTTTGGGATGTAATTTTCAGTATGTAGCAGGGAATCTGGTTCATACAAATGAGGACCCAATTCCACAAACCAGAAATACAAGGGAACTCCACACTGACATGATATATTGCCAAAACAGAGTTCCGTGTGGGCCAAAGGGAATTTTAATGGCATTCATTATCGTGACCAGGGGATAAACCCTGTGCTGCCTTTAATGGTTATTGCCGCTCAACCTACGTGTAAAGGAGCGTATTGTTTTTTTGTTTGTGTAACTCGGTAAAAGAGTGCCTCAATCAAGGAAGCTCACGAGGGCTCGGCTCCAATCACGCTTGTTTGGAGTTCCAGCCCTAAGAGCTAATTGGCCACCAGCCAACAACAAATGACATTTGTATAGCACCTTTCACGTCAGGAGGACATCCCAAGGCACTGGACAGTCAGGGATCCGCAAGCTATTGAGCACCAGTATAAAGCTGGGGACTAGTGTTGAGAAGTCTGGAGACGACGTACGTAAAAAGATAGCGCCTTCTTTCTTTTTATTGTTAAAACCGTGTGCAAGTTTTCTTTTCCGAGCATGACCCACATCCTCCTGCACTTATAAAGAAATCTTGTTAAAAAAACACCACAAATTTGATTCCTTTGGTCTTGTGGTTGCCTGTGAATCATGGGAGGTGTTTAAAGGGAAGTAATCACTTGAGGACTCGCTGTTTTAAACAAGATAGTAACTTGGCGGAGACTGACAATGTGCCGGGGGAGAGGGAGGGGGAGGTGACGGTAAGCACAATCAAAAAGGAAGGTGTTTAAGCGGGATTTGAAGGTGGGGAGGGAGGGGGCAAGGCAGAGGAATTAAAGAAGAGAGTTCCAGAGTTTTGGGGCATAGTGGCTGAAGGCACTGGAGCAGAGGGCACAGGGGAGAAACAGGAGGCCGGAGCCAGCTGAGCAGAGGCAGTGGGTGGTAGAGTGTGGGGGGTAAGCAGGTGGGAGAGGCAGGGAGGTGCGAGGGCATGAAAGGATTTGAAAACGAATGAGAGGATCTTGAAGTCGATCTGTTCAGTAATTGGGAGCCAGTGGAGCCTGTCAAGGACTGTGTGATGGGGGAAACAGAGTTTTGTGGTATCCGGGTGGTGGAGTTCTGAATTAATTGTATTTTGTGTATGGTGGAACTAAGGAGACCAGTGAGGAGGGCATTGGAATAGCCCAGGCGTGAAGTGACAATGGCGTGCGTGGACGAGGGTTTCAGCTGCTGTGGGTGTGAGGTACGGACAGAGGCGGGCAATGTGGTCGAGGTGGCTACAGGACTGAGAAGATCACTCGGCCGTGTGGACTCACTTCTTTCCCAAGTGCCGAGCAACATCCGACCTCTTGAATCCCTCGAGATTGTACAGCCGCTTGGCCAGCCTCCGAGCTGCCTCCAGGTCACTCTTGTGTCCATTGCTGACCGCTTCGCTGCTGTGCTGCTCCAGCTGCTCTGTGCTGCCCATTTCAAACTCAACTCTCGGAAACACGTCCCTCAGGCCACCATCGCTACCACAAGGAGACAAAAGTGAAACGTCAATTTCCAAAGTCACGTTTTGAACGCTCAAAGAACGGCTTTGTTTCACCACTTCAACTAAAAAAATATAATAATGATAAGTAAATAAATAATCCTGGCATTTGATATAGCGCCTTATCATGTCTTTGAGACGTCTCAAAACACTTCACAGTATTGACTGAGGAGAGAAAAGAGTGGAGCAGAAAACTGCAGGCTTGTTTTGCGTTACTCAGCTCACAGGCCCATGACTCGGCTACAATACATACAGTCACATCTCACCGTCACCTCACTGACTCTAATTCAATTATCAATTAATTAAGAAGACTGGGAGTTTAGGCACCTGACGCGCTGCTACCAAATGAGCCAAACTGACTCCTTGTTTCACCCAGTCACTCCACTTTGCAGTACATACCGTGAAGCCCTTTGAGGTGTCTTGACAACGTGATAAATGGGGACATTCGTCACCTCAAATTCTGAATTTATAGTTAAAACAACTAATAACCCTTGCATTTGATGTAGTACCTTCCACATCCAGAGAGCGTCTCAAAGCGCTTCACAGGATAGTGACTGTGTATTGTTTGGTCGTCAAAATATTGGTTTAAAAAAACAAGCTGTGTTAACATTCCAAAAAAACAGTTGTTACGAGAAGGGTTAACAATGCAAGTTAAACACCCATAAAACACGCCATTAAAGAAATAAATCCCCGAAACATTTCTAAAGCTTTGGAACGTCACAGTTGAGTAGGTCCAAAAGAAATTAATTATACATCAATAACATTTTCAGCTGGTATAACAAAGTGTAGTGTGTGCAAGTGCCAGTGGGTTGAAAAGGAACACTATTGCTTTCATGGAGGCTTTATATAATACTTCAAAGTCACGTCTTCTAATAACATTTGTTGCTGCTGCGAATACAGAAAAGATAACGCTTGCCAAAATCCAGCTACACAGGTCTAATTTCCTTGGAACTTACAAAGTTGCAACATTTTCTCTTAGCTCTGAACTTGAATCAGTGTTAAATTCGCCAAATACAGTGCAATCATTGCCCCTCAACCCCCCCAAAAAATTGGCACTCACCCACACTACAGAGATTGCTTAAATACACAGTATACATTCAGTTCATTGTAAAATTTTGTGAGGCACTTTGAGATATCTTGACAATGTGATAAGGTGTTGTATCGAATGCACCAATTATAATAATAATCTTTCCATTTGATTCAGCTCTTTCAGTCGGGAAGATGTCCCAAAATGCTTCACAGGATATACTATACAGGATATAGTGGAGAGGATATGTGTTTAGTGGGCAAACACAGCAGTCACTTTGTGCACAGGAATGTCCCACAAACAGTCATTACCACACAAAAGTGAGTGACCAATTTTATTTGAGGGATTGTAGGCTAGACACCCAGAGAAACTCCCTTCTCTTTTCCAAGAGCCGTGGGATCTTCAATGTCCACTTGAACAAGCAGTAGGGCCTCGATTTAACTTTGCATCTGAAGGACGGCTCCTCCAACAATGCAGTACACTCCCAGCACCGCATTGGAGTGTCAGCTTAGACTATCTGAGTTCCAAGTCCCGATGTGGAGGCTTGAACCCACACCTTTCTGACTCAGGAGGATAGAATTCTACCAACTGAGCCGGACTGAGGCATTATACTAATATGAACCCGCAAGGCACCTTGGAGCCGTCAGCAACTGGAAATTTAAACAATGGATAAAACATGCAGCAAGTTCAAGAGGGATTTCTTGAAGAGGAAATGATTAGGTGGGGGGGGGGGGGGGAGAGTCCAATTAGGAGATGGATTTACATCATGTGTCATTCTGAATCATGAGAACTCCCATGCCAAATGTAGACCAAAATGGAGCAGCATTCTCATAGCATAATGTACTATGATCCTGATCAAGAAATTCCATCAGAAAATGTCCTATGTTAGACCCCAATGGCTAACATTGGAACGCTCTCCTAATGTGAAAGGTGCTATATCACTGTAAAATATATATTAACAATAATAATCCCAGCATTTGATATAGCACCTTATCACAACTTCGAGACGTCTCAAAGTCTTCACAAAATATACTGTAAAGTGAATTGACTATATTTTGTGGGCGAAATGTGGCAGCCAATTGCACACAGCAATGTCCCACAAACAGTATTGTATTGAAATTATAAGTTTATTTATTGGGTGAATTGAGATTGAAAACGCGTCTCAATGAAAGGGAAAAGGCTTTTTCTCCAACACCGATCAACCCTTTATCGAAAGGACAAACAAATCAGAGGTGGAGCTGGGCATCAGAACACCCTGAACATAATGCAGTTGTTAAGAGGAAGGAAATCAAAAAGGAACAGAAAATTGAAGGAGCCAAATACCATTTTTTTTTAAGAACAGGAAAGCGAGGGCAATTTACAAGAAAATCAATCTGGCCCAACCTCAATTACATAAAACGAAAATACCAGCAAGATTTAGGATTTACTTATTAAAAAGGGAATTTGTTACTTATTTCTAAAAATATGGAAGTGGTAGCACCGGCGATGTGCTTGCTTGACAATGAGTCATAAAAACAAGTGGGTAAGACTTCCTCAAAGGGATATAACATAATCAAAAGCTTGATTATTTTAGGCAGCTCATGCGTTTTGGGGTTAGAATTGTGGAGACCATTTTAACCAATAAAAAGGATGTTTGAGGTACAGGCTGTCTTTGTATTAATCACCTCATTGGAGCGCAGATTTGTTTTGAACATAGACCTGCGAATAGAACAATAATAATCCGTGCATTTGATATAGCGCCTTATCAATCTTCAAATATGTTTCACAATAACACTCAATCTTACATAGTAATAACAAAATGTACTAAACAGGCTGAGACTTGGTGGAATTTCAGGCCTCTAGATTGCAATGGCTCAGTCCATAAATACATAATGCAACTCAGAACTTCCTCAATAATCAGCGTTACATTCTGACAAAATAACCTTTCAAAATACATAACGTTAATATCCTTCAAAGAATTCAACTTCATATACTTTATTTTGAGGAAAATGAACCCATACCCTCTCCCTCCCCCGCTTCAATTTGCTCATGATTGATTTTAGTTACCTTATTCTGAGCTCCCTTGATAGCCTTGTGAATCAATCTGAATCTGGCAAACATGAGGGAGAAGAGAATAGAGAGGAATAGAAGAGCGGATTGGGAAATCAGGGCCATTTTGGACCCCTGTGGAGTCCTGAAGCTCAGTGGTTAGAGCAATTGGCTCGCCAGTGAGAGACTGGGGTTCGATTCTCGGCAGCGCAAAACTTTGGGTAAGTTTACACACCTGTTTACCAAGCAGTAAGTAGGAACTCAGTTGTTAGTCGAATGGCGGATCGCTTTTCAGGGTAATAATTCCTTTTAAAAATAAATTGGTCACTCAATCCACGACTGTTTGTGGGTCGCTGCTGTGTGCAATTGGCTGCCGGGTTTCACCCACAAAATAAACAGTCAATTCACTTTACAGTATATTTTGTGAAGCGCTTTGGGACGTCTAGAAGATGTGAAAAGCGCTATATCAAATGCAAGGATTATTATTATTATGTGGATCCATTACAGGCAGAGACAGGAGGAATTATAATGGGGGCTAATGATTTGGCAGTCATTAAACAAATACTTTGCTTCTGTTTCCACGTTAGAAGACACTGAAAACTTATCAAAAATAGAGGGGAACCAAGAAGCTAATGTTAGTGAGCAACTAAGGGAAATTCCATCAGTAAACAATTAATACTAGGGAGACTGTTGGGATTGAAAAATGACAAATCCCTTGGACCTGATGGCCTGCACCTTAGGGTTTTAAAAGAGGTGGGGGCTGAGATAGTGGATGCCTTGTTTTTGATCTTCCAAAATTCTCTGGATTCAGGAACGGTTCCCACTGATTGGAAGATCGCCAATATGTAACACCACTATTTAAGAAGGGTGGGAGAGAGAAGATGGGGAACTATAGACCAGTCAGTCTGACATCGGTGGTAGGGAAAATTCTAGAATCCTTAATTAGGGATGTTGTAGTGGGATACTTAGAGGACCATAACATGATTAGGCAGTCAACATGGCTTTACAAAAGGGAAGTCATGCTTAACAAATCTTTTAGAGTTTTTTTGAGGATGTAACTAGCAGATTAAATAAGGGGAACCAGTGGATATGGTATATTTAGATTTTCAGAAGGCATTCGACAAGGTGCCACATAAAAGGCTGCTACACAAGATTAGGGCACATGGAATTAAAGGCAATATATTAGCATGGATCAAAGAGCGGCTAACGGGAAGAAAACAGAGAGTAGGGATAAAAGGGGCCTGGCAAGATGTGACTAGTGGAGTGCCACAAGAATCAGTACTTGGGCCTAAACTATTTACCTTCTATTTCAATGATCTAGACGAGGACATAGAACTTAAAATATTTAAGTTCGCGGTTGATACTAAGCTAGGTGGGAGAGTAAGCTCTGAGGATGACACAAAAAGATCGCAAAGGGATATAGATAGGGTGGGTGAGTGGGCAAGAGGTGGCAGATGGAATATAATGTGGGGAAATGTGAAGTTATTCACCTAGGTAGTAAAAACAGAAAAGCAGATTATTTTCTAGAAAAGGAGAGATGAGACAGTATTAGTGTTCAGAGAGATTTGGGTGTCCTTGTACACCAGTCACAAATGTTAGTATGCAGGTACAACATGCAACTAGGAAGGCTAATGGCAATGTGGGCGTTTATTGCAAAAGGGTTAAGAATACAAGAGTAGGGAAGTCTTGCTGCAACTGTATGGGGCCTTGTTGAGACCCCACCTAGAATACTGTGTGCAGTTTTGGTCTCCTTATTTAAGAAAGGACATACTCGCCTTAGAGGGGGTGCAGCATAGATTCCGTAGGTTAGTTTCTGGGATGAGGGGTTTGACCTATGAGGATAGATTGAGTAAACTAGGTCTATATTCTAAATAGAATATAGAAGAATTAGGAGTGATCTTATAGATTCCTATAAGATTCTTATG